GGAAGAACTCGCCGATGAGGAGACATCCGACGAGGAGAGCGAGGATGAGCCACCCACCAAGAGGGGGCATCTGAGGGTGTCCAAGTCACCGGTCCTGCAGCGGGCGCTGAATTTTCTGCCCGCAAACAAGTCGTGGAAGGTGCGTTGTGACGAACATAGGTGCCTCCACCATGTGTTAACTGCCTTTGCACCCCTTACTACGTGCTTCTCGGAGTTTTGACGGCGGATGTGTGTGCTGGGTGGTTTTGATATGGTTGCAGCGCGCGTGCGACCTGGTGAAAGATTACCTCTTCTTTGAGAAGGAGAACGCCCGGATCACGTTCTATCCGAGCAGCGACGACAAGACGGTGGGAGTGTGTGCAGTGATCGAGCGCCTGCCTTTCGATTTCGCGACACTTGCTCTGGCTGCGGACAAGGCAAGACGGTCGGATTTGAACAAGGCCCTTAGCGAGTGGAAGTCGGGCGCAGCAGGAAGGACGCGGGACATCTCGTGTCCACGGATGGGGCTTTTCCGCGACGAGCGAGATACGCGCAGCCCATGGGCCACGAAGAAGGACCGTACTCTGGAGGAGATACGATCGCATTATGGGCTGCTGCTCGGCGTTGACGGTAAGGCGGTGGTCACGTGGTTGGAGAGGGGATGTATGCGGGATGCGTGGATCGCGGACTTACGTGGGCGTGCATTTGTGCGCAGATCCCCTGGCATTGTCCAAGTTTGGGAACGATCGGGAGGGGATGCCGTTCGCCTCTGGCGCATTCGTGGCATGCGCGGTTGCGGCATTCAAGCCGAAGAAGGTGGTCGGGCCACTGACGGTGAAGCTTTACCACCTGGCGTGGCTGGAGCATGTGGTACGTGCTTGGTGTTTGTTTGTGCTATGTGGTCACCCGTCCTCCCCCGGTGGCTAAGGGGCTGTTTGCGTGTCGCAGGTGACCGACACGCTGGTGAACTGGGAGGCGAGGAAGGGGCGACTGTCGAACTCTGCCTGTGGAAACGCGCAGGTGGTCGATGGGCTCGTGATCCTTGCGCGTGAGGCAGTGTCGAACGCGATCAGAATCTTCAAGCCTAAGTACGACGTCGCCTCGTGCTCGTGGACCTGGGGGCGCCATGGCCTTCGACTGTCCTCGTGCGGGCTGGAGGACTTAATTCCAGCGACTGCCGCTACCCGTGATGGGGCAGAGGTTCAGGCGGACGAGATCTCTGGGTCGCTTGGAGGCCCGTAAATGGTGGGGGTTGAAGGCATGTTTTCCCAGCTGGGGTTTGTCGTGCATTTGTTGCTGTAGGCGGGATATTTGTGTTTGTTGTGGGTCCTAGCTATGTGTGTGTTTCTTTTGTGTCGCTTTGCTGTAGGTTTATTACGGATGGGTTGTGCGTTTTTGAAATACGGTGCAAACTCACGCGAACACTTAGGGAATGTAAACACACCACGTTGTATGGTTACGCCGTATTTGGTATCTTAATAACAGCATTGCGGTGTCTAATAGGTACGGATACGTGGTTCCGGTTTCACGAGCTGCGCACATTACTGAGGGCGCGCTTCGGGCCGCGTCGAACGTAGACCATTCGTGGCACGCACATTGAATAGGTGCTGTTGAGGGATGTGGTGGACGTTTTCCGCACATCTGACGTCGGATATGTTTGCAGTGGTTGGCCGCATCTCACGCGTCAATGGCGTGGCCAGTCGCACCAATAGGGGGAAGTAGTAAAGCTTGGGACCACGTGTCTAAATCCACCAGGTGTAAATGGTGGGCGGACAGTGGAGACACGTCCCGCGTATGCAGCGGGCGGAAGCTTGGTTCACTTTATCGTCAGGTGTTGGTGCACGCCCTGGTAACACCGGCTGAGGTGGCGAGCATGCGTTGGGACGTCAGATTTGGCGAAGGTTTGCCGTAGGACGGGCGAGGCGGGCCCGCGCTACGTTTTAGTGGCTGACGAAGTGTGTAGTTACATGGTGCGGGGCCACTCACGGTCCCACAGGTGTACGGTCGAGATGCGAGGTGTTCGCGGTGTGGATTTGCGCCGCGTGGAGTGGTGTGCGCAAAGCGGACGTAGACAGATGTCGCGAGAGCGTTGGATGGGTGTGCGAGCAGTACGCACAGGTGTGGGATAACGAGAGGTCGTTGGGTGGGGAGGTGGCGGCGCGTTTGTGGGTGGGGAGGTGGGTCCTCTGCATGCAGATTGGTGGGCGAAATGCACGCGCAGTTTGGTAAGTGGGCGACGAGAGTGGGTGTATTCACTCGTTAGACCAACGGGGTGCTCACATGTGTACGGCGGGGATCGTTGCGTGAAGCCGCCTCGATGAAGGCCGCGTGGCAAGGGGGTACGTACGGTATGATGCACAAGCACTTTGGTGTACGGTGTCATGTGACACGTGTGACGGGCAACTTTATCGCAACTTTCTGGCAAGATCGCGGTTGCTGGGAGGTTCCTGAAATGTGTCCGAAATGTGGCGAAGGGGTCACTTTTACGCAACGTGCACCCTTGCGGGAATTCCGATGGTTTTGACCTTCACTGGAAAACATCGGGGCCGGGTATCCAGAAAGTAACTTTTCTGCAGTTTTTTCGACTCATTTCCGCAATACCTTTTCCGCGAGGCTGTTGACATCTGAGGTCCTTTGGAACTCGGCGAGTCATAAGAGTGTATGGGAGAGAAGAAGCGAGGAGGAGCTAGAAGGCACGTGAAGACCTGCCCGTGACAACTGTCGTCGTAAAGTTCCTGTTTCAAATAGAAACTAGGACCAAGACGAAGCCCTTGGCTGCAGTTGCCTTGCTAGCACCCCTCAACATTGCGCATCCAATCCAGGTGCACGGAAGGGAAAGACATTGTTGACTTGGCACGGAACTCCTCCAGTAGGACGCCGTATCTGGAGCAAGACTGGGGGAAGGGAACCAATCTCGAAGATTATGTTACGGGGAGGATTTTATAATCGTGTGTGGTGTAGTGAGAGCAGTTGGGTGGTGGGGGGGGGAAGTAGGCAAGGCGAGTGTTGCAGTCAGCAGACCGTACATCAGCAGTCTGCCTAGGGACTTCCTCCGAAACTGGTGTGGGTGTACACGCTTTGGGTGGGTCCAATAAGTGGCTTCAGTATGTATTGCCCGTTAAAAGTGCTATGAGTGCTGTCCGGTTTTTTACTTAGGGCTTATTTACCATTCAGCTGCTTTCCGGCCTCTTCCCCAAAATACTCCATACAAGCATACCAGTCAACACAGTCTGAAAACAGTTTCGCTCGATGAACCAAGAATGCTACGGAGGCCACAAGATTGATTTCCAGTTATCCCCACAATACCACAACCCTTTGGGATCACAATCCCGACATTAATAAAAACTCTTCTGACCACATTGTACGAACTCACTACGAATAAAGGTGGATCGCTGACCCCTGATCCTGCAACCAGATTCAGTGAAATCAGAGAGTCACATGTGATGCTTACGAGCCCATCAACCCATTCCGTCCCAATGCAACCAGCTTCCCCTCCTCCCTCACTGCTCCCAACGCTGGTCTCATCTTCCCCTACTTCCTAGTGCTGCTCGCCCTTCTCTCCTGTGCATCTCCCCTTTCTCTTTCCACTGCTGCTGACTCTTTCTTCCATCCAACCCCTCCAGCACCCCCAGCAGCTGCACCGTGTGACTCCCTCCACCATACTGCCATGCTCGCCCCTTGAAAGATGGCAGAAAGACGGGAGGGACGACGGGAACGGAAAAAGGCATGAAGGGGGACGGAGAGGAAGGAAAACGGAGGGGGAAGGAGGAGGGTGGTAAGTAGGGATGAAGCCAGGTGGAGGAGCAAAGCAGGTGGGCGAGGGAAAAGGGAAGGTTGGCAGAGAATAGTCTGTAAACTCGTGTAGAGAGGAACAGGACGAATAACCCAGCGACACGTGGGCTTGCAGGGCCTCGGATTCTGAAACTCAATCTTCACACACACACACACACACACACACACACACACACACACACACACACACACACACGCACGCACACGCACACACACACACACACACACACACACAGACACACACACACACACACACACACACAGACACACACACACACACACACACACACACGCACACGCACACGCACACGCACAGACACAGACAAAGACACAGACACACACACACACACACACACACACACACACACACACACTACCGACCAATGTTCACTCACACCAACTACAAGACTTACCAGATTCGTCACGGTGACGAAGACGCGCTGGCGACGGAGATACTGAAGATTCACATCACACTGCTCCTCGTCAGCCCGAGATCCAGCAGGCTCGACGCGAGCCCGCAGCAAGTACAGACTGTACTTGGTCACGCGTGGTTAAGACGAACGGGATGCAACTGGCTCTCATCATTGCGGTCCTTCGTAGCGTGCTGGAACGGCTAGTTTGGATCAAGATAAGTACGAGAAATGCATGATGCAGAGCGAGTGAAAGCCGATGCGGTGAAACACGGAGCTGCGGGGCAGTGATGATGCCATGGATAAGGATTCATGGGTGCCGTTGGATCATAATCGTCAGAGCCTGACGTACGGTGAACGAGCGACTCGACCAGAGGCTGCCTGACACTCGTACACTTCCAGGTGTCCGATACAGTAGAGCGCAGAGAGTCCTCACTCCCCCCACACTCGTACACGACAATCACCGAGGCTAGGATTGACGCTGTAACACGGAAATCAAGGCAGTGATGGTTACCGTGGAAGGCTGAGCACGTGAGTCGAGGTGTTCCATAAGTAAGGCCTTGAAAGCAGGCACATCAGCTCTGGAGGAGCCGGTCATGCTGATCGGAGACCAAATCAGTTCATGCTGTACAACTGTACAGTTCATACGCCCTCGCGAAGCTATGAAACGTGCCTGCAGCACCATAGAGCTTGGCAGTATGCGTGGTGGTACAGTGGTCGAACAAAGCGGCAGCAGGAGTGGCTCCGGCACTTGCTGTGGCAAGAGCTGGTGCGACGACAGAGGGGAAGTCAGCGCATACTGTCGGCTCTGCCAAACATTCAGCTGCTCACATGCATCTCCCTGCACTTGCGCACCTCCCTCCCTGGTCCCTTGTGGTTCCAGGCGCCACTCTGGCAGCTCTGGCTCGGGCAGGGAGGCTGCCAGCCCTGCCATGCAGAATGCGGCACACTGTACCCTGCACTGTAGCCAGCCTCCCCCGTGCTGAGCCCCAGCAGCACGTCGTCTGGAAGGGCACTCTCCGACACAGCACGAGGCCACAGTGCTGGTTGGACACGGCTCCTCTTCTCCTGCTGCGCATAGCCACTCTCCAGCGACTGTGGGCGCTGCATGGTGCAGCCTAGCACGGGTGGATCTGCGAGAGGGTCAGTGCAGCCCTCCCTAGGTCGCTTGCTAGGCAGGCTGGGTGCTGCAGGGTCGGTGCAGGGTGATGCTCGGGCTGCAGGGCTGGTGCAGAGCGATGCCCCTATGATTCCCATGGAAGGGCCGGGAGAGAGCGCTCCCCCCATCAACTTGCAGAACGCAGCAGTGGCATCCCGCACAGCAGCAGCGGCTCCGGCAGTGGAGAGTGGCGCAGGTTTATCAGCATCAGTGGCACTGGCTGTGAGGAGAGGTGCCGGTTCAGGTGCATCATGAGCAGTAGCAGCGGGGAGAGCAGTAACACCCGAAGCAGCAGCAGTAGTGGGGACAACAACAGCATAAAACGTAGCGGACGGGTGGGAAGTAGCAGCGCCGATCACAGCAGCAAAAGTGGAGGCAGAAGCAGCATTGGATGCAGAAGCGGCAGTAGGACTGTGGCAGTGTGACTGCGACAGAAGTGACAGTGGCTGTGACAAGGACTGTGGCAGAGGAATGGCAGGGGCTGTGGCAGGGGGGGCTGTAGCATGGGCTGTGGCAGGGGCTGTAGCAGAGGCAGTGGCTGCCAATGATCCGTGTGCGCTTGAGGACCTTCCTCTCTGCCCCCTCCCTTCTCCAGCGCCCATTCTGCCAAAGATGCCCCAGCACCACCAGCACCAGCACCAGCACCACCAGCACCAGCACCACCAGCACCAGCACCAGCACCACCAGCACCAGCACCACCACCACCACCACCAGCACCACCACCAGCACCAGCACCAGCACCACCAGCACCAGCACCAGCACCACCAGCACCAGCAGCACCAGCACCAGCACCAGCACCAGCAGCACCAGCACCACCAGCACCAGCACCACCAGCACCAGCACCAGCACCACCAGCAGCACCAGCACCAGCACCACCAGCACCAGCAGCACCAGCACCAGCACCAGCACCAGCAGCACCAGCACCAGCACCAGCACCAGCAGCACCAGCACCAGCAGCACCAGCACCAGCACCAGCACCAGCAGCACCAGCACCAGCAGCACCAGCACCAGCAGCACCAGCACCAGCAGCACCAGCACCATCTGTGGCTGCCAGCGGCTGTCGCTCGGGCCCACTCGCCCAGGCCACACAGAAGGGCTGCTGGTGTGGAAACTGGGTGACATAGGGAACAATGAGGGCGTGTTCAGGCAGCAACAGGGGAGCCACGGGCGTGTTGAAAATAAGAGCATCAGTGTCATGCGCCACGCTGCATGTCTCCATCTCCGATTGGGCACAGCTACTCACAAGGAGCGTCCCTCCAGTGCTGCTGCTGCTGCCCATCCCTCCAGGGATGGAAGCAGCCAGAGCAGCAGCAAGGGGGGCGGGCAGCGGCGCTGGCACTGGCGCATGCGGTGCGGAGAGGCCAGAATAGAGGCTGCTGGAACCCACTGCGTTGAGGCTGCTGGAACCCACTGCGTTGAGGCTGCTGGAACCCACTGCGTTGAGGCTGCTGGAACCCACTGCGTTGAGGCTGCTGGAACCCACTGCGTTGAGGCTGCTGGAACCCACTGCGTTGAGGCTGCTGGAACCCACTGCGTTGAGGCTGCTGGAACCCACTGCGTTGAGGCTGCTGGAACCCACTGCGTTGAGGCTGCTGGAACCCACTGCGTTGAGGCTGCTGAGTCCCATCGCATCGAAGCTGCTCAACCCCAGCAGCATGTCGTCTGGAAGGCCGCTCTCCGACTCCACGCACGGCCACAGAGGTGACTCTTGATTCGACTCAAAAGCCACGTCGTCTGGAAGGGCACACAGCTGACTGCATTCTCCAACTGGCGGTGCCCTCTCAGACTCTTGAGTCGACTCAGAAGTCGCGTCGTCTGGAAGGGCGCAGCGCTGATTGTGCTCTCTGACTGGCAGTGCACTCTCTGACCCCACGCGCGGCCACAGCAGTGATTGAACGCGCCTCTCCTCTCCTCCTCCGTGCAGCTGCTGAAGCTCCGCCAGCAGCAGCGCATTCACAACGGCTGCTTCCATTTCCTTCATGTGACTGCTCTCCTCCTGCTGCTGCGCGCGGCTGCTCTCTCCCTGCTGCTGTGCGCAGCTGCTCACCCACTGCTGCCGGAACTGCTCTGCCACTGACTGATGGTGTCGCTTCGCACTCTCACCCCCACCTCCTCCGCCACTTCCACTCAGCACCGGCTGGTCTGCCCCAAGCCCAGGGCATTCCTTTCTTACTCGCTTCACTGGACGGCTGAGGGTAGTGGCATTGGAGGCAGCGGCAACAGGAGAAGAGGCATCACACGGGAATAAAATATCAGACGCAGTGGCAGCAGCAGAGGTGGTGGGTTGGGAAGCAGGAGCCGGGCTGACAGATGAGGAGCTGCGTGGGGCTGGTGGGTGGCAGTAGGTGAGAAGAAGGCGGCGCGGCACTCGTCAACCGACAGCCCTCCGAATGAACCCATGCCATCCGAATGCTGCTGCTGCTGCTGCTGCTGCTTGCCATCATGACAGGGCGATAGCTGACTGCGGCCCTCCACGGGAACGCGCCTGGAGACTGCAGCACCTTCCGGGTGCTGTTTCAGAAGTTTCTGCTGAAAGCGCAGAGCGAACTTCCTGCCAGCAAGACACGGCCACAAAAGAGCTGTCAGGCGTATTAGGAAGGCTCGGGCGAGTTGGAAAAGCTCGGGCGTGTTAGGAAGGCTCTGGCGTGATAGAAACGCTCAGGGGTGTAGAAGAGATGAACGACGAAAATGAACGTGGCATGTAGGGTTACCGTTTGAGGAAAATGTAACGGTTACAGCACGACTTGTTGCTCCTCATGAGCTGACCTCTCCTCTTCAGCTCTCTCCACCGCTTTGTGCCGCACTGCAGCGCGTGGCGCAGCAGCACCGCGTCCTCCTGCCGTATGAGGGTGTGTGCGAGCACGGAAGAAAATGAATTTCATGGTCAGTGATTGGCGTACCATCTTTTGGCATGTCTCAGATGGAATCCGGTGAAAGATCGTGAATGCGCGACTCAAGGCCCACAGATCTGGCTCAAGGCGTTCTGGGAGTGTCTTGATCGCACAGAGATCTGCCTTGAGGAACAGTGAATGTGTCTTGACGCACAAATGATGAGTAGGAAGGCTTAATATGATTGAATCTTGATTGAAACTTGAGTTTCAGGCCGAAATCTGGTGGATATTGGAATAGCCTCCTCTGCTGAAGGCCCACATCGCTGGACTCGCCTCGCTACACTCGCCTCGCCGGCCTCTCCGGGAGTGCGTCTGTGGACTCACCGCTGGGGTCCAGGGCAGCATGGGGCGCGACGAGGAGAGGGATGTCGTCGCTCCAGAGGAATGCGACATGGCGGCGAGGCAGGGGTATCGAAACCGGTACTTCTAGGCAGGTAGCTGATCTAGCTACTACTACTAAGTGGGGATAAGTTGGGGTCCCTGAGACGTAACACTGGAGCCGTGACGGATGATAGTAGTACGGCTTTACATGATAGAGGCGAACACAGAGGCGCGTTCAATGCGCTTAGCAGCTGATACACAGCTCACGGAACTGACTTGCCTGCGGCTAGCCAGGCTTCGCTTCGGCGGACGGAGGGATGCCGCGCTTCCCGCCGCGCGGTGGGAGACGGCGCCCCGCTGGAGGCCCCACCCGCGCATTGTTGTGCAAGGATCAGGATTCAGGAGGCTGAGAGGCCTGGGCGTCCATTGGGGCAGTGGGAAGGGACCCGAGTGGCAAGGACGCACGAAACTGTGGCATACTCGGTCGTTACACGCGCAAATGACCCATGAGGACAGGGCTCGGGAGGAACCCTATCATTGCTAATCGCCCGCGGGCATTCTTCGCGCTCAGAATGCTTCCCTGGGCAATCTTTGCAAACCAGTACAGTATTTAGATCTTTAGAACTCGGCGAGTCATGCGAGCATAACGGGAAGAGGCACGTGAAAGACGGACTTCTTCCAGCCATAAAAAACTGCTTGCGATTCCGTTTCCCGTTTCCGAGCTTTTTTTTTTTTTTTTTTTGGGGAAGATGATATATACTGAAACAAAAGCATACACCATCGAACGGTCGTAACCGTGCGTGAGGCAACAGTAGAGCGTACTACTGTTCCAGGAAAGTTATCTAAGGCGAGTTGTTGCCAACCTTTTTCTTGGACCAGAGCGCGGCGAAGGCACTTGTCCACGTCCACCCTTTGCCATCCATCTTGATTCTGCTCAGCATTCGCTTCTCTTCCGCGAAATTTTCTTGCTCCCTTTTCTTCCGAGCTGCCCCCATCTTACGCATGTAGATCCTCGCGTGTAATCTGAAGGCAGACTCCGCCCTCCACAAAACTCTTTGCAACCGAAACTTCTGCCCCCGAAAAACAGCTTCGCATCTTTCCAACCAGATCTGATGTAGGACCACCGACGTAAGAGTCAGCTCCGGAAAAGCTGATCTGGTGCCCGTTTTCCGGAACAGCATGTCGCCCAGCGAGGCTGTAGGCCGGTTGGGGTTCAGCATGCGCAGGGCACGTCGGAGGGCCGAGGACACCACTTGTATCCTGGGGCAAAGAATGAGGCAATGCTCCAGGGTTTCTTGCTCCCCACAGTGCGGACAGGATGGCTTGCTGCTGAGGAAAGCCAACCTCTCCCCCACCTGTAAATTAAGACCGTGGATTCGTATCAACACATCACGCGGACGGCTGGGAACAGCCAGAGAGTCTCTGGATGACACCACCCTTTTCCAGTCAATGTGGTTCCCCCAGCGTACGCCCCACTTCTGCTGCTTGTATGACTGGCTGTAAGTCCCCTTCCAGCCCTCCTTCATCCGCCTCATGGTAATCACCCGCTCCCCCTCTAGAATTGGTATCCGCGTGGAAGAGCCAGCCGAGCACGGGGGTACCGTTGGGAAGCCGAGCAGTCTTTGCCAGTGAGACGGGATGGCAAGCAGCGCCCTCATCGCCAGCTTCGCAGGCCCGCTCCCTCCCAGTTCTTGCTTCAGCAGCTCCATGGATTTAACTACCGCTACGCCGTCTTCCTCCCCTTCCAGCAGATCACCAATCCTTAGCTCTGACAGCCCCTTAGCATCCTTTTGGCCTCCCAACGGATTTGTGGTACCGTTGAGGAGAACCGACGCGTTGAAAACCAGTCTCTCCGCTAGGACTTCTTCCCTGCTCCCCACCAGGTTCTTGACAGAGAAGGGGGAGCGCATAAAACTTTCCACTGTCTGCTTCCAGCGAGTACTGCCGCTTCCCCAGTGTTTTAGCAGCTTCACGTGTGCAGTGAAAGAGTCCACCCCCAGCGGGAGCTTTGCCGCCCGTTCCATGAGATCCCTTTTGAGTGGATTTCTCTCCGTGATGAAAAGCCCAACTCTCCTTGCCGCTAGACAGGTGATAAGAATCTCCGGGTCCCTGACTCCGATACCGCCGTCCAACCTTGGGGTGTACAGCAGCTCCCTGCTCCAGAGAGCGAACCCTTTTGCTGTTGCTACTCTGTTGCCCGAGGTAAAACTGTGAATCAACCGTGTGATCTCCAGCCAAATGTCTGCCGGCGGCGGGAAGATCTGCGCCTGGAAAGCCAAAATCGGCGTGATGTAGAAATTAACCACCGTCGCCCTTGCTGTAATTGTCAGGTACCTCAGCTGCCACTTGGTAAGTTTTTCCGAGATACGACTCCACGCCTTTTCCCAGGTCGGCCGACCCTGACCGGATGGCGTCACCCAAACCCCTAGCAGCCGCTCCGCTTCATCCGCTCCAGCCCATTCGAAGCTTCCTGTCCCCACTGCTCCAATATTGGCTCCCAACGGTAAGACAGCCGATTTTGCTTTATTTGTTGCCAACCCTGAAACTTTCTCGTACCGGTCCAGAATAACCTCCGCTTGTTCTATCTGCTCCTGTCCCTGCAGGATCAGTGTTGTATCGTCAGCATAACCAAGATAGCCAAGCTGGTGCCCGTCCTTCTCCAGCCCGAGCCCCTTCCTTTCCACCTCCAAGGCCAACGGCTCCACTGCACACAGGAAGAGGTAAGGAGCTAAGGGGCAGCCTTGACGTACCCCCGACACCACGTCTACCCCTTCACCAAGCCAGCCGTTAATCAGCAATTTCGTTGTCGTTCCTTCGTGCAGACCCTTTACCCAACCAACAAATCGCTCCGAAAACCCCATGGATCCCAACACCTGGAACAGGAAGTCCCTGGAGACTGAATCGAAAGCTTTCTGGAAATCCACCAGAAGCAGATACCGATCATCATTATCATTCTTCGCGCTCTCGATGATATCCGCTACCAAGGCCACTGCATCCGATAACCGCTTCCCCGGTATGAAGCCGTACTGTTCAGGTGAGATGACCATATGAAGTACTGTCTTCATCCGATCTGCCACCACCCGAGCTAGAACCTTGTATGCAAAATTCAGCAGCGTGATGGGCCGGTAGTTGTTTAACTGCACCTTGTCCCCCTTTTTGTGAAGCAGTATCGTCACCGCCTCCTTGATTTCCGCTGGCAGCACCGCGGAACTTTCGAAGTCCTTCGCCATGGCCATAAAGCTCCCCCCCAGCAGGTCCCAATGCGCTTCAAACAGCTCTTTCGGAAGACCGTCACTGCCCGGTGATTTATTCCTCGCCATTGCTGCAAACGCTTTTTTCACCTCCTGCTCAGACCAATCCGCCGTAAGCGTTTCAGCTACAAACTTGTCCAGACGGCGGGATGGAGTAAAGCTCCAGTCAGTGTGGTCAGTACGACGATCTCTGCCGAAGATGTTCTTGAAGAAACCAGACGCCGCTGCCAATATCTCCTTCGACCCGGTTATTGACACAGCTCCATCCTTTAGCCCCGAAATCTGCGTCCGTGCTTTCCGTGCTTGGATTTGCGCTGAGAGGTGCTTGGATGCGATCTCGCCTGTCAGCTCCGCCGTTGAGCCAGCGTGAAGGTGCAAACGGTCTTTCCGTGCCGACTGATACATCTTCAGCTGCACCTCCTTCGACCTCAGCAACTCCCGCGTCCTTGAACAGTTGGGATTTCTCATCATCTCCTGCGTCAAAACTGCAACCGTGTTAGTCAGGTGAGTCATTGTCGCCCGCACCCGTTTGCTCTCCTCTTTTACGTAAGCCCTGAGCCCAGCGCTCAGCCTTGCTACCAAAAGCTCGAAGCTGCTTCCGTCGTTAACCGGAGTTCGCCGGACTGTAGCTTCGATAATCTTCCTCACCCCGGGTCGGTTAACCATAGAGGCATGCAGCCGCCAAAGACCTGGACCTGTGCAGGCTTTTTCGTCCAGTCTGAAGGCGACCAGCACAGCACAACTGTGGTCTGCTACAGGCTCGTCAGGCTTGATGTGCGCAGCAACTGTCAGGTAAGGCAGTAAGGATTGCGAGACTAAAGCGCGATCTATCCGTGTGCTGACCCGCTTGGACTTAGAGTAAAAAGTGTATTCCCGGCGGCCAGGGTGAAGTATGCGAAATGCGTCAGAGAGCTGGAAGGTCCTAAAGCGCTGGAAAAACTTCTCGTTCTCACTTGATACCCCCTTACCAGACGATTTGTCCAGCTTGGTGTTCTCTACATGGTTAAAGTCCCCTATGATGAGCAGGTGCGCGGTACCTGGGATGCTATCTATGAGAGGACCAAGGGAGTCCCTGAGGAAGACTGCTCTAGATTGCGGACACGATGGGAAGTAAGCTGCGACTAAGGTGAGTTCAGGACCGTGTCCCCTAACAGTGGTCTGAATGATTCTACCTGATGCGTGAGCTACTGTATCATGGAAGGTGATGGACGAGTCTCGGCTGAGGACGGCTACTCCGCCAGCTCTGGATCGTGGAGCTGTTGCTAAGACAGTGTAGGAGGAGAGTTTTTTCCAGTACTGGTGATCAGGTCCTATTCTGGTGTCTACTAGTACAGCTATGTCTCCTGCTTGACTAAACCAGCTATTAACTCAACTCTGTTTAGCGAAATTATGGAGTCCGTTAACGTTGAGGCTCGAGACGGTGAGGAGGTTTTTTGTACTCATGGTTCCACTGGCTTGCAGCCCCTGTTCATCATCCACAGGCTGATAAAGGAAACGGTACAACCAATGCTGACTCCTAAACACCAACAAGCCGCTGCAACCAGGTAACTCTCAGGGACTTTCAGAGGCCATACTCCTTGCGAATGATATCGAGGTGCAACTTGTCGAGCGATTCCTTCGTTGCAGAACCCGCTTTCGCAAGCTCTAGCAGGTGAGCAGCAGCGGAGATGTGATCCGCAGCAGCCATAAGGCTCTTCCCTTTTGCTTTTCTGCATCCCGACTGTGTGCAGATCCAGTCTTCCCTGCTGCTGCCGGTAGAGACGAGAGCGATGGCTGGGTCGCGAAGAATCGGAAGGAAAAGCGATGACGCTTTCAGCGACGCAGCTGCGAAGATCCGACGCAAGGTTAGTACGTAAGTACGAGGAGCGAAGCAAGAAGCGGAGAAAAGGGTGGCTGCTAATTTTACCGTTGAGTCTGTGCACTTTGCCAAGGGTAAGGTTCCATTTACTAACGTTATTCTGACGCTCAGTGATAAAAGCATCATGATACTTATCATAATGCTTGCCGCCGCAGAGCGAACAGGATAAGGTCGGATAATGGACCAGCAACTTCTTCGACCGGTCAGCAGGATCAGCGATCACATGAATCCACCGGCGGTTGCGGTTTTCCGGGTGAGCATAGACCAGTCCCTTCACGACGTCCGTGTCAGCACCAGTGACGGGATGAAGCACCCGATGCAGACAGGTACACCGCAGGAAAGCCGTGCGCTGAGTACTCTTGAGCAGATAGACAGCCATGCGATCATGAATCAGAACCAACTCAACTGCCGCGGAGACTCCCCTGATCATGAACTCAATGGCTTGCGGGTTCATCGCCTTTTCCCGAGCGAAAGCAGAGTCTTCAGTGTGGAGCCAATGGAGTGTGATAAGCTGGCCTTGGTTCTTGAGAGGCTGGTAAATAACTTCCTTCCTTCTCACCCATTCAGCATCTGACTCCTTTGCGAATGATACTTGCAGGCGGCAATAACGTGTCTTGGCAATGTAAGACGACTGAAGCTCCTGGAACTTGGTCGTCAAGGCAGCATCATCTGAAAGGTCCGTATACCATCCGTGTTTTATCAGTGCCTTAACAGCATCAATCACACAGGAAATCTCCTTGTGCAGCATAAACGGGATCAGCAAAATAACGACGGAGCGCAAACCGGAACCAGCCTCCTTAACCACGTCGATGATCATCTCGTCGTCAGAGTCGTCATCGATGAAACCGTCTTCATCCGTAAGTCCGACCGAAGGGATGGTAGCCTTGTCATTGTCAGAAAGACCAGAGCCACCAGCCTCTGACATTGTTGCCTTGCCATTGTCGCTGATGACAGGAGCCTGAGCGCTGACTGAACCAACAGCCTCCGAGGAACCAGCGACAACATTGTCATCCTTGGCCAAAGCAGGAGGAGTAACGTCAGCAGCAGGCGGATCCGTCGTCTGCTTGTTGCGAGAGCCCTTCGGATTCGCCATGGTGCAATGATGACGAGCAGGCAGGAAATAGGTGCACTGAGCACAAACAGAGGTCCGCAGCGGCCGATGATGAGCCTGAAGTCTGAGCACTTCATTGTTAAATAATAGCTGTGACTTGTCAGGGTCCAGCAATTCTTGCTGGTGATGTTGGAAACCCGAGGTTAGCACCTCGATCAATAATGCAGATAGTGTTGTTAGCGCACATGGAGTATGAAACACCATTGTTAAAGAAACAGAGCCATTGATAGCGTTGCCTTGAGAATGCCTGACAAACCCCTGGGATGATCGTCTCGTAACCGGTTGAGCCAATGTCAGCATAAATGACAGGTCTCCCGAAAGCTGAGTTCAAGACGAATCTTAAGATTGAATCAGAAGGTTGTGCAGAACTGTGTAACGCGGACATTGAGCGGCTCGAAGCTGACGAAATCCATGGCGGCGAGCTAATCTCGAGAGTCATTGTCTGGTTCGTGTTGTACCAGGTTCGTGTTGTTCGTCCCCGTTTCCGAGCTGTACTGTTGGCTGGAACCAAGGTGAACGGCGATTCGCTGCCATGGCCAACTGCACCCTCCAAGCTTTCACGTCCACACAGAGAACAACACTCCAAGGAAGATATTGACCTACGAATCCTATCCCACACAAGCTTCCGCATCCACGTAAGCAATACACAGGAGGCGAAGATACTGACCTCAGCGTTCGTAGTATCTGGTTGGGATCGCCTGGCCAGATGCTGAGAAGTGCACCATATTCGTTTGAATCTTACTATTTAGTGGTCCAGGAACTCACCTCACGGTTTGTACCTCCCTGGGTCATTATACCTACATGTCCGCGAAATTCAGACCTAAAATACGCAAGTGGAAAGCTAGTATCAGAAACTTCTGGGAACGTGACGGCTGAATTGTCAAAATGCTAGGCCAAAACGAGAAACAGGCAAGAAGGGTGTTGACTAACAAGCATAGGGATACATATATGCAAACCCTAGAAGGGCTGTACTCGCTATAGAGTACCCCACTGCAGGCTAGACAACCATCACATTCTGACACACCCCCATAGTCAAAGTGGGGTACAATCAACACAACAAGCAGACAGAGCAATAGTTCACAATTATAAGCAAAGCTAGAGGCTATCACAGAGGGCAAGTGAGGAGGAGGAGAAACTGTGGGAGCAAGAAGATGAGAGGCGACGGCTGAAGCTGCAGACACACAGGCAGCAGGAGTACGCCGCACTGACGCTACCAGGCTAAACCCGGACTACACGGCGACAGGGGGTCGCAGCTGGCTCGCTGTGCTCCCAGGAGTGCACACACTGTAGCTACCGGGCGCAGAGCCCCGGACTACTCAGGCCACAGGGGGTCGTGGCTCCCTGGACTTCAGGCGCTGCGGACGACAAGTCGACGGCCTCCTCTCAACTTCCCCCAGCTGTCCCACCCCCTTTTTACACACCCCCTGCTGTTCCCCTAGCACCGCTCACACTACACCCCCTAGCGCCACTCCCTCGGCTCCCACACACCCACCCCCCTCAGCGGCAGCTGCAGCAGTGGGAGACGGAGAAGGAGGAGGAGGAGGGGAACGGCACTCAGTGGCTTCACCCCCATACCCCTCACCCCCAAACCCTAATTCAGGAGAACGGGCTGTAGGAGGGGTGGGGCGCCAGTAGAAGCACGGGGGACAGTGGGGAGGGCAGGGGCAGCGAGGAACGGGCCGCCCACGGGCCTGGCATAGCCGCCCGAACCGCGCGCAGGCGGCCCGAGCCGCGCGCGGGCCTGGCGCTTCCCGTACGGGCCGCGCGCGGGCCTGGCGCAGCCCGTACGGGCCGCGCGCGGGCCTGGCGCAGCCCGTACGGGCCGCGCGCCGGCTGTACGGGCCGCGCGCAGGCCACGACGGGCGACGGGGGGCGACGCGCGGGTCCCCGTCGCCCGTCGCAGCGCCTCCCGGGGGCGACGCGCCGAGTGACGGGGCAGAAAACCGCCGCGCGCCCCGGGCGCGCGGCGGGAAGAAAAAATCGCTGCGCGCCCGGAGCGCGCGGCAGGCAGGAAACAGCAGGAAACAACAGCGGAAGCTTCTGGTGGGACCACCCACAGGATCGACCCAGGAGGGTCGACCCGCTCTGATAGCATGTCAAAATGCTAGGCCAAAACGAGAAACAGGCAAGAAGGGTGTTGACTAACAAGCATAGGGATACATATATGCAAACCCTAGAAGGGCTGTACTCGCTATAGAGTACCCCACTGCAGGCTAGACAACCATCACATTCTGACATGAATACTATGTGGAAACCTGAATGGTTGCGAATTCTGAGTCAGTCCTTTTTATCCCCATCGCCCTAGGCGAAGAGGCGTCTCGCGAAAACAAACAATCACATCAGCACAATATGACATAAGTTCCATATTGAAGAAAACAGTGTACATGGATGGAAAGCGATAGCAGATTGCCCGAGCCGAGAGACACCCACGGCGTATGCAGTGCAGATTGCTCCCGAGCACACGGGCACTCCAAGCAGCGCTGCGTAGCCGTTGAAAAACATCATATGTACCGTCAAACATGCGTTGGTGTACACCCGTGTGTACCTGATTTCCGGTTTGGCCTACGCCAAGCTTGTTAGATATTGGTCAGAATACAAATGGCTTCATATAAGCAGTTTCACTTCACAGTGCTACATGTAGACCTCAAACTTTTCTACTCACACCCACAGCATGATGGCCGAGAAATCTTACAAGCAAGTTCCCATCCCAAAATTCACATTACCTGGTAAGTTACATGATGGCATGACAATATTCACTGCAAAATCCTGGCCGTGCACCGCTGCTCCCTTGTAGAAGGCCAATCCATCCTGGTTTGTTAGTCAAGGCAATATGCCTCTTGCAATGCACAGTGCAATCTCATCGCAGTCTGAAGAATACCTGTAGTTTTCAGTGTTGTATATGTTGGGATGGAGAGCGGGGGCATCCCAAGGAAGAACGGCCAACGGCCATATATCCAGGGTTCGCGAACGGCGTTCGTATGGTCAATCATAATCTCGACCCTGGTGATATAGAAATCAATTTTTGGGTTGCGTAGCAACCCTATACATTTGGTAGCACTTTTCGGTCGACTCGAATGAGCAGTGCAGCTTTTGTCATTTTCCCAACGTTTAAAGCCCTCGTTTTAACATTTTCCAAACGAGTGCTCCAAAGTGTTAAAATCGGAAGTGTTGTTTCATTGATGGTGGTTGGGGTACAAGTAGCAAACCCTAACATACGTACCCCCTAAGACACATCTCACTACAGGCTACCAACATTTGACACACCCCCATAGCCTAAGTGAGGGGTGTCTAGCAAAACCAAAAGAGTACGGCCACAAGACCAGTCACAAAGAAAAAGCTCAGGGTGGATCACAACGTCACCACAAACTCTGAGCACAAGCAACAATGGCCACAAGGCCAGTCCAAACAATAACAGAGATATATAGAAAGGGTACAAGCAAAGCAAGCAGTGAACTCAAGACCAGTGTCAACAAGGCCTAACTGCACACAACACCTGTGGTGGTCACAAGGCGGAAGCGCCTTGGTAAAGATGTCTGCAGTGTTGGCCTCAGACTCCACAAACTCGAAGCGAGCCTGTCCACGCCTCTGCAACTCTCGCAGAAGGAAGTACCTGACGTTAATGTGCTTCACTCTGCTCTCCAGTCGCGGCTCTCGACAAAGGAGAATGGATGCCTTGTTGTCAGTGAACAAGGTCGGCCGCTCACCCAGGTCGGCGAGCAAGAACGTCAACCAACGCAGCTCCTGTGCCGCCATGGCACCAGCGTAGATCTCAGCCTCAGCTGTAGAGGTCGAGACCGAAGAGGAGCGCGTGGACCGCCAGGAAACAGCTCCAGAACCCAGACTGAAACAGTACCCCTGAGTAGACCTGTGAGTCTCAGCGTCGTCAGCGTAAGAAGAGTCACAGTGACCAGTAAGTACAACAGACTGCTGCCCTCCAAGTACTAGCCCCACGCCTGATGTCGTCGCTAGGTACTTCGCCACCCTCACAGCTGCTGTCCAGTGAACAGGACGGTGTCTCCCTGGCGCAACAAAGCGTGCAAGGATGCTGAGAGGGAAAGCGAGGTCCGGGCGAGTACACGTCATCAGGTACATGAGGCAACCCACAAGCTCTGCGTAGGGACCACTAGGCTCAAACGGCTCGTCAGGAAAGGGGCCAGTGAGTCTGTGGTCAACAGCAAGAGGTGTGCGCTGTACTGTGGAGTGCTGAAGCTCGAACCGCTGAAGGACCTGCTGCACCATGTGCGACTGTGAGAGTGTAATGGTGCGAGCAGCTCTGTCCCTGGTGATCTGCAGCCCAAGGTAATGGCGCAGCTCACCAAGGTCAGTGCACGTGTGTCTCTTCTGCAGTTCGGACTTCACGTCTGCCAAAGCAACCCTGTCAGCAGTGGCGAAAACTAGGTCGTCGACGTAAACCAGAACGAAGAACGGTGTGGAGCCACGGCGAACGAACAGCGACGGGTCGGCAGAAGACGGCTGGAACCCAAGGTCAGAGAGGGTAGAGCGAAGAGTGTCGTGCCACTCACGAGGTGCCTGGCGAAGACCGTAGACAGGTCGCCTCAGCCTCCACTGGGTCCCAGGAGGGAAAGTGCCAGTGAAGGCAGAGGGACGACGCAGCCAGACCTCCTCGTGTAGGCTGCCCTGAAGAAAAGCAGTGGAGAAGTCTAGAGAGTGTAACTCGTAGTCTCTCTGTGCTGCTACGTGCAGTAACACCCGAAGAGTGGTCATCTTCGGGGTCGGCGCGAAGGTCTGAAAGAAGTCAACTCCCTCGCGCTGACTGAAACCTCTAGCAACGTAGCGCGCCTTGAAGACTGGAGGAGATCCTGGTGGCCGCTTCACCCTGTAGATCCACATGCCATCG